ATAATTATATACAATATATATACGTAGTTTGTTGGGTCGTCAGAAAATTCATGATGCATTTTTGCATAGGAAAACATAGAACAATGCCTCGTGACTTTTCTGACAGCCCGATACACAATTATCACCAGATGGTTATGTTATTACTTTTATTATAGCTATTGTAATAATACAGAGATTATTGTAATGTTTGCTGTATCCTTGAATTACTCTACGTACACTGAATCCATAATCCGAGCTATTCTGACATCCATATTCTTCCCTCGTTCATTCCTAATTCTGTGTCTTAAAATCAAACTAGCAGCGCCAACCATACCTTAAAAATAAGAAATGTGCTATTCGTTTTCCTTTCTCCTCTTTCACGTAGTGAAGTACTTAACTTACACGTGGTAACTTTGCATTAAAAACAAGGGTGATGTCTAATGTGTGTGTGTGTGTGTATGTATGTGCGTGTGCGTATGTACAAATATCAAAAAGAAAAAGGAAAAATATATATATATATTGCCAGGAATGTCGTGATGCATTTTTGCCTAGAAAAACACAGAAAAATACATCATGACTTTTCTGACAACCTAATCGTTTGAGAGGGAGGGTGGGAGAGATTGGAGGATGATATTAGAATATTAGAATATTATTAGAATGATGGGGCCAGCGGGTGGCATGGTGGTTAAAAGTGCTGGACATGTCCACATGGCCAGCCATGGTTCGAGTCCCGGACCTGGTGGCTTGCTTTCTCACTTTCTGTCTGTCTGTCTGTCTCTCTCTCTCTCTCTCTCTGTGTGTGTGTGGTCAAATTAAAATAAATAAATGATTAAATAAAATAATTTTTTTTAAAAAAGGAATACTATTAGAATGAAAACCAATTTCCCATCATCTACGATCATAGATCTGCAGGAAAGTGGTGAAAAAAGAATCTTATTGCAATTATTGACTCAGGAGAGATCATTTTGCTCTTCTGGAAGAAAGTGTCTTCCTCTTGGGACAGAAGGACAGCCAAACTCAGGTACCCACAGACAAAGACGTTCCCCGTGGGGCATGGCTGTGATAGGTAACTGGCGTGGTTGTTCCAGTCTGGAATTACTCTGTAGTATTTGCACAAGCCTGTTACCACTTTCCCAGAACAGGCCAAACAAAGGACTATTTCTGTCATCAGAATAATTCGTTTTCCTGGAACACGCATGACAGAACTGAGGTTCGGAGATTCCGTTATCGGCGACTGAAATCATTTCTCCTAGAAGTGGCTTCTGTGACACGATGTTGCTAAAAGTATTTCTTTAGCAATAAAATATTAAATAGAAAGCAATGAGCAGGGATTAAATAAGGGTCTTGTCTACAGCGTTTTAAATGTTATTTTTTTTAAGCCCAATTTTTCTTCCCGTAATCAACTTTCATGTACCGTCCGTGTTCAGCACGTCGAAATTGCTGGAAATGGTTGATAACTGATATTTATCAGCAACTACCAGTATGTTTACTTAGGAGCTGAGAAAATATTATATGTTTCTTATAGTCACTAATTACTCTGCGTTGGCTGAAACCTGCAACCTAGACGTTCACTACATTCGTGTGATTCCCTCGCTGGTTCCTATTTCTGATTAGCTCTTAAAAATCAAACTAGTGGGACCAGCAGTTGGCGTAATGGCTATGTCACTGGACTCCCATGTAGTCGACTGCGGTTCGCGTCCCGGACCCGGTGGCTTAAACTCACACCGGGTTCATGTGCCTGCGTGCCCAAGATCCCAAGAGGAGAATGGAGGAGAAGGGATTGCGGTGTGGCCATCCCCCACCCCCCCCCCGGTGGGCTGATTTCTCGCTTTCTATCTCTTTGTCTCTGTCTCTAAGGCGAACACATGCACCCTATAGCAAAAATCTCTCCTAAAAAAACAGAATATCCTTTGGACAGTATAGATAAATAAGCACATATAACCTGATAATCTAAGCTTGTATAAATATGTTCCCCAGATCTTAGGCTTAAAACAAAAATCACTAATCCTCAAACTATAGTATTTGGGGGGGAGAGAATTATTATTTAAATAAATATTTACCTGGACGAAAATGATTCTGCTGGTGATGAGGAAGGGCTTCTGCCTTTTATATATTTCTGTATTATTTAATTTTTCTCCATGAGAATATGTTTTTATTACTTGTGCAACTTCGTTGAAAGTTTTTTGTTTTTGTTTTTTGCTATAGGGAGCATGCGCTCACCAGAAAGATAGAGACAGAGAGACAGAAAGCGAGAAATCACCCCCCAGGGGGGATGGCCATGCCGCAATCCCTTCTCCTCCATTCTCCTCTCGGGATCTTGGGCACGCACGCACACACGCCCGGCGTGAGTTTAAGCCACCGGGTCCGGGACTCGAACTGTGGTCGACTACATGGGAGTCCAGGGACATAGCCATTATGCATTATGCCAACTGCTGGTCCCGCAACTTCATGAAAGTTTTCACTGAAGCTGTCAGCAAAGGTTTTTATTCTTTATTTCCTAAGTTCTCCGAAATGGAATTCTATGACTGATTCTATTACAAATCCCTCCATAGCCATCCTGATAGGCTTTTGGTCTTTTGTCTTTCAATTCAAATAAATGTTAACCGTTCTCTTAATGATCTTAGGAAATGAAGTGAGGCTGACAGATTAAATTAAATGTGAATGCATTCGCTGATGTCCTCCCATAATGCCCTTCCAATAATATGATCGGATTAGCCCCCAGCTCACGAGATCAGTGAGAGTGGATGGACATCACCCATACAACCTAAGAAACCCACATCCAGATGGACTGGCAGGTGGCATGCCGGGTGAGATGCTAGACTCCCCCATGGCTAACCACAGTTCAAGTTCCAGGCCTGGTGGTTTGAAAATCATGGCTGGGGGACCAGCGGTTGTCGTAATGGCTATGTCACTAGATTCCCATGTAGTCAACCGCAGTTCAAGTCCCAGACCCGGTGGCTTAAACTCATGCCGGGTGTATGTGTGTGCATGCCCAAGGTCCTGAGAGGAGAATGGC